TTTAGGACTATGGACCACTCTTTCCTTGATCTCACCTGTCCATAGACCCGCACTTAATTCTTTTTGATGGGTGAATTATATGGATATAGCACATTTTATTTATCCATTCATCAGTTGATGGCCATTTGAGGTGTGTCCACTATTTGGTTATTACGGCTGTGGACATTTGTATAAAATTTTTGTTTGATCATATATCTTATTTTTGGTTCTCTTGGGTACCATAAATAACCTTGCTGGTTCTATGGTAACTTTACATTTGGTTTTTTGAGGAATTACCAAACAATTTTTCAAAGAGGCTACATCATTTTTCATCCCCACCAACATTGTGGGAGGTTTTCACTTTCTCCGAATCCTCAGCAATACTTGTTACTTTTTTTTGGTGATTGCCGTATCTGTGAATGTGAAGTGGTATCTCATTGTGGGGTTTTTTTGTGTGTGTATGTGTCGGACTCTCATTCTGTCACCAAGACTGGAGTGCAGTGGCACACTCACAGCCACCGCAGCCTTGATCTGCTGGGTTCAGGTGATCCTTCCTTCTCAGCCTTCCAAGTAGCTGGAATTACAGGCATGTCCAAACCACGCCAGGCTAATTTCTTTGATTTATTGTAAAGACGAGGTCTCGCCAAGTTGCCCAGGCTGGTCTTGAACCCGTGGGCTCAGGCAATCATCTCGCCTCAGCTTCCCAAAGTGCTGAGTGGTTTGAGCCACTGCGCCCGGCCCCCTCATTGTGGTTTTGATTTGCATTCCCCTAGTGTGCATTTCTCTGGTGTATAATGACATTGAACATCTTTTTATATGGCTGTTGTGCATAGGCTTGTTGGTCTTTTGTATATCTAATTTGGGGAAATATGTGCAAATACTTTGCCAGCTCTAATTGGGTTGTCTTTTTATTGCTGAGTTGTAAGCTTTCTTTATATATTCTGGATACTAGACCCTTATCAGATGAATTATTTGCAAATATTTTTCCCTTTTTGGGTAGTATTTGCGTTTTCTTTTTACTTTTTTATTGTAGGTATCATAACACGATTACATTTGACCTTCGAATTTGTCAATTTATTGATGATCTAAATAATGTCATAGGTTTAAACAGTTAGTTGCTCGACTTTGAAAGTTGTTTGTGTCATTTTTCTCCCTTGATACCAGGTCGCTGATGCTGAACTAAACCAATTGGTTGTCCTGTCCTACTGGACTCAAAAGACTACTTTGTGAATGTCATTGTGGGTGTCATTAACTAGATCTGAGAAAATATAGTGCTTATTAAGTTATATGATATATTAGATTTTCTAAAATCTAGGTTGCATTTTATTAATGTGGCTGATTATTTTTATAGTGTCCTCTTTAAATTTTGGTGATGTCCAGTTTATTTTTTCCTTTGGTTGCTAGTGCATCTGGTGTCATATTTAAGAACCCACTGCCTAATCAAGGTCACAAGATGTGTACCTGTGTTTTCTCCTAAGAGTTTTATACTTTTAGTTTTTACACATAGGCCTATATTTTTACTTAATTTTTGTATATAGGTGAGGTGGGTGATTAATTTCATTCTTTTGCATGTGGCTGTCCAGTTGTCCCATCATCGTTTGTTGAAAATATGATTCTTTTTCCATTACCTTTTCTTGGACTCCTACTGGTTACTTTTTAACACATATATTAATATCATCTTCAATTGAACACTAAGATTTTTGTGGTAAGGAGGCATTTCTTATCATTAGGATAGCCTATTGTGTTTAACAGAATGCCTTACCCAAAATATGTGCCTGATATATATTTTACTAGTGTTTCTTTCTTCAGCCAGATAGTAAGCTCTAAGAGGACACAACTCGTTTAGTATTGCTCACCATTCTGCACTGCAGAATATGCTAGGATCAATAAAGGATAATCCTAACTTTGATTTTGCCACCATATTGTTCTACTGTTTTCATTTATTGCTGGGTCTTCTTTAGCTCAGAACACACAACCAGATTTTGAATTAAAGGAATCCTCTTTAAGGAATGAATGTTTAACCTAGGAAAAATTTAGATTTGAACCCTCCCCCATTAGTTTTTTGGGTTATACTCCAAGAGTTTAAAACAAATCGGATTCCACAAATGAACTAATGCTAAATCAATCTGAAGTTCCCATCTCTGTATTAGGTCTTTGACTACTTTTTTTTGTCAAAGTGAAATAAAAAGTCAATTCCCTGTTTTTAATAGGTGCCAGTATTTCCTACTGGTGGACTTTGACAAGACTTAAAATGGGAAACCACATTTTGAATAATGAGAAGAGGAAATACCTGTTTTGTTCATGGTTTCTGCAGCTTCAAAAGTGATTTGCAAAAGAGAGAGAGAGAATGAAAAAAAGGAAATATCCTAAGTACTCAAAGAGAGCTGGAGAGATGGTAAATTTATTTATATTGATTCTTGGAATCCTAAGTTGCAATTAAAGCTAATGCTTATGAAAATGATATAATAAGGAAGAATCTATGATATGTAATTACATATGAAATACAGATTATATTATGCAGTGATTGCAACTGGGTAAAGTTATTTTTTACTGTGACCTAGGGTAATCAGCCATCCTGTTTACCTTGGACTGTCTTGGTTTTAACAATCAAAATTCTACATCCCAGGAAATCCCTCAGGCTCAATCAAACCGGGGTGCTTGATCACCCTGTTATGAACAAAGATGATAAGAAAACAAGAAGAAAGTGAAAAAGGGTTATGTCAGCCTCTTAATTAATGGTTGCAATTGGCTTTGTAAAGTTTATTTTCTTTATGACTATAACATTAATTTTATAAAAATAAAAAGGAGGAAAAACTAATTTAAGACCAGAGAGTATATCTTCCACTTCTGGGCAAAGCATATTTGCTATTGGCCAATACTATTATTTGATTCTATATTGCCAAGGGATGAATGGGGAAGGAGGTAATAACACGGATTTTTATTCTTCTTTAATAGTAGACATTAAAGGTGTCTCCTATTATAAGGAGTTAGGTGAAGTCAGTAAAAACAAATAGAGGTTATAAAAATGACTCAAAATTCTTACAGAAACCATTGGTTTGTAGAAGAATACTTATATTTCAGAAGTAGAGAAACTAATATAGAAATGACATCTTGTATTTTTTGGAAAGTTTTCTGATTTTCATTTTTTTTAAGATCTACCATAGCTATACCCTTTTCCTTCTTCTCTAGGAGCACCTGCCATATATTTCTGTCACAGCCTGGAGTGTTGGGAACGAGGAATACATTATCAGCAACCTATCCCGTGAACATTTTCCTTGGGAATACACATATTGAGAATATACAGGCATGAATATCTGATGACCTGTGATCTCACAGTTCAAACCCAGATTGGGGTTATGTGGCTATGAACTCAAAACTATGGGAGCCTCCCATGGTCTGACATTCCTTGAGGAAAGAAGAACAGTGAAAATGTGCCTGTTGGAATAATCTATTGCAAACAAGAACACAAAAATAGTTTTATCCATTTAGAGCTAATTTTGGGGACTTTACCTAGAGAAATGTTCTTTCTCCTTTTTTTTTTTCTAATTACAGGGAATATCTTATCCATTGGTGTTTCCTAAAAAAGTGAAAATATCATAGAGAAAATTACATTGTCTTTTTACCTGCCACAATCTTGCAGCACTCAGCATGTAGCAAATGCTTAGATGTGATTGATAGATGATAGGGACATCAGCCTAGGTTAATATTCTTTCTAGGTAAGGTGCTCATATAGCTGAAGTGAAAAGTAGGGTGGCTATTGCCTGAGATTTAGCATTTTAATCAGGTTGTTTCCAAGCACAATCGTGTTTCTGAGAATGTCTATAGCACTCAGCATCTACTTTATACAATCTACCAGCTAATTATATGTTGATGTAGTTTTACAAATGCTACAAATTTTAGAAAAATCTAAATATTTTTTAACCCTAAGTGGTAAAATCAGATTCTGACTCTTGTGTCTTTCTCAATATCTGTTTAGGGAAGGACAGAGGGTAGGTTTTTGACCTGTTGATCTGACTCTAATAGTGTATGCAGACATTGGATAGACAGTTCATTGTTTCAGACATCATAGGATTCGAATAAGAAAGCCTGGTTAATGAAACAAGGCTTTCATAATTACTAGCTATGACTGTTGGCAAGCTACTTTTTCTCATTTAAAGGTTACTTTACCTCTTCGAATTACTTGTCAAATAGAAAGAGGAGTTCTTGGTCATGGAAGATCTAATAACATGATTTGATAAAATATGTTATCTGGAAATCGTTTTATAATATAAATGCAAATGTTTGTTTATTATTTGAGACTTGGGTACTTTATTGTGTCATTTTCTATAGCATTCATTCTTCTGGATGAAAGGCTAAAAGTAGAACCAAGAACCTAGAGAAGGTGTTAGGAAAAGTTAAGACAGAGATATGTCCATGTTCAAGCTATGCTGTTTGAACAAAGAAAAAGTTGGTTATTGGCCATTTAGAGTTTCTCTAACAGGGTGTAGAGACTCTAAGAAGTGCTACAATGTTAGCCCCACAGAAAGACAGATGGAACAGGTTCCTTATTGCTCTTCATTGTCATTATTTTTTATTGTCCTTAAAACCATAGTACAAAAAGGACTTCACCAAAAATGTAGATGTGGAAAGAATTAAAGACAGTTTAGGGATGGCATGGAGCCATCTTTTTTATTTGGTATAGAGTCTCCCTGTTACTAATGGAAGAAATGAAAGGAAATGCTGCCACTACTACCACAAAGCCTACCCAAGGAAAAGATGAATGAAAAAAAATCACATTCTGCAGCACTCATTATGCCTTTTTTCAATTAAGAAAGTTGCCCCAAACAAGAAATACGAAACACGGAATGGTACAATGGCTACATTCTCTGAATGTGTGCGAGAAGGAGCTGTGGTCACTCCAAGCAAAGACCAAGTAGAGTTGTGAAGGATTTTGCACGGTACCTCAAGAAATGAAAATCAGCATATCTCTTGGAAGCTAAGACTACTAATGCTTAAAAAGGGAAACAGAAAACAGAAGAAAGCATTTAAGGAGAGCTGTCATTCTCTATTGGTGAGGATTCCTGATCTTGGAGAGGTTCTGGAAAGTTTATTTCTGTTTCTTCTTCTTCTTCTTCTTGGACTGGGATAATTTCAATGTCTTCTTCATTCTTTGTTTGGGAGGATATTTCAGTTAGCTCAACCACTTCTTCTTTTATTTCAATAGTCTGTTCTTTCTTTTCTTCAGCTGACAGGAGAACTACATTCTAGAACACAAAATTAAACTTTTCTTGACTTTTACCATGGACACTTTTCTTAACAATCTCTACAAATATTTATCCAATGCCTTCTAGTTTTTAATGCTACTTGTATTATTTAATATATACCTCCACAAGCAAGGATTTATTCCCCAGAGGATCAAATCCTTATCAAATCACTTACTTACTAAAACTCAACTCTGAGCAGTCCCTCAAGTAGACATTTGCTTCTGCACTTGGAATGATCACATTGTATTGGAAAAAGAGTGCATAAATGAGAGAGGAGTTTAGATTCTAGTTCTGATTTTCCTTCAGTGAATATAGCCCTAGTTTCCCTCTCTGATTCTAGTGTTCTCATCTGCAAAATGAAGGAATTAGTGATTTCTAAATTCTTTTCTAAATCTAGCAGGCTGGTTCTTCTGAAGCAGTTGGTAATAGATCTATATTGGGATATTCATATTTTCCAATTGTGTAGCCTCTTCAAACCTATTGTTTTGTAAGAGTAATTAGGCGAAAAGAAGTAGAGGGAAGAGGGCAATACTGAGAAGTGGCCAGAGAACCAGTGACTTTAACCTTCAACCATTCTGCTTTTACACATTGAGTATGGAACCATGACCTCAAGATAGAAACCGAAGGTTAATAAGAAGGTGCATGTACCATAAAACTCCATGTTCTAGAAGTCTAAGAACAGACGTGCCAATTTTCAAGACAATTTCTTTCACTATTGGTATTTTCTGCCTTCCAGAAACAGACCAAGATGATTTTTTGTGAAACCGCTACATTTGTTTTTGAGTTGGAGTCTCATTCCGCTGTCCAGGCTGGAGTGCAATGGCATGTTCAAGGCCACCACAGCCTCAACCTGCTAGGCTCAGGTGATCCTTCCACCTCCACGTTCCGAATAGCTGGAACTACAGGCATGCCCCATCATGCCTGGCTAATTTTTTGATATATTGTAGAGATGAGGTCTTGCCAAGTTGCCCAGGCTAGTCTCCAACCTGTGGGCACAGGCAATTCTCTCACCTCAGCCTCCCAAAGTGCTGGGACTACAGGCATGAGCTACTGTGTCCGGTCAATGCTCATTTTAGTGTGAATTCACCTGCACACAAATGCCAGGCTTGTAACAGTCTCAGAAATAGAATTGTGGTTGTCCAAAAAGTTCTTTGGAGAAGTGAGATCAAGCTAGAGATAGTGGTACTCCTGTCAGGCCAATATTATCGAATCCTTCCACTAGGGAGGGTCCTCTGTCACCTATTAGATTCTTGCTTGAATCTAAAAGCAAATAACTATGAAAGTAAAATCTTTATGCAGGTGAATTATTTCTACCTAAAAGAGATAGTTTCCAGAATAACATTTAGAGATTTTTAATAATTGGATGTTATTCTCTTCACCTATATCTTATTTTTTAATTTTAATTTAATTTAATTTTTTTGAGTTGGAGTCTCACTCTTGTCACCCAGGCTGGAGGACAGTTGCATGCTCACGGTCATCGCAGCCTCAACCTGCTGGGCTCAGGTGATCCTTCTGCCTCGGCCTTCCTAGTCGCTAGAACTATAGGCACGTGCCACCACGCCTAGCTAATTTTTTTGATTTATTGTAGAGATGAGGTCGCCAAGTTGCCCAGGCTCATCTCGAACCTGTGGGCTCAGGCAATCCTCGCACCTTGGCCTCCCAAAGTGCTGGGATTATAGGCGTGAGCCACTACGCCCAGCCTTCTCCTACTTTTAAAGTCTCATCATTCTCCATAAGATCCTTTGCAAATGTGGTTTTTCTAGAGTAAGGTTATGGACAGAGCAGCTGCTACTTACAGCTTTCGATCTGGAGCATGATCTTTTCCATTCATTCTCAATGATGCCCGCTATCACAAGTTGTTGGAAAAAGGCAAAGATCAGCATCACTGACAAAATGCCCTGAAAAACAACAGAAGAACAGCGGTGAAAATGTAAAGATGGGACAGAGAACATGGTCGGTCTTCAGAAAATTACTGTTGACTATAATTAAATGATTCCTTAGGTAGGTTATGACTAAATGTGAGAACTGCTAGTATAGAAAACAGTGTCTTGGCTGAGTGCTGTGGCTCACGTCTGTAATCCCAGCACTTTGGGAAGCTGAAGCGGGAGGAACACTTAGGGCCAGGAGTTCAAGACCTGCCTGGGCACCATCTATATTTAAAAAAAATTAGCCGGGTGTGGTGGTGCTTTCCTGTAGTTCCAGCTACCAGGGAGGCTAAAGTATAAGGATTTGCCTGAGCCCAGAAGGCCGAGGCTGCAGTAAGCCATGATCTATGGTGAGTCATGATTGTGCCACTGCACTACACCCTGGGCAACAAAGTCAGACTCTGACTGAGGAAAAAAAAAAGAAAAGAAAAGAGAAATAGTGTCTTTATAACACAATGTTTAGCACCACTTCTGGCATATAACAGATGGTTACTACATGTTGCTGATAGAAAGTAAGATAGGAATAATCAGTTGAAGAGTCAATTCTATGCAGGAAAGAATACGTATTGAGTCCCAAATTAAATTTTATTCAGTTTTATGTGGTGTGGTATCACATCAAGAAAACCTCTTCACACTTGGGAAATATAATATTTTTCTCCTTTAATCCTTGAGGGAAAAGATGTTCATAGCATCTTAGGCATTTCTTCCATGTTTATCTTAGTTAATAATGATAAATATTAATTCTGTTAATAATAATATTAAAACTAACACTTATATAGCACTTTGTATCTACCAGACATTGTTACAAAGGCTTTGCATTTTTAATTCATTTATTATTAATAGGGGTCACCACCCCTATTTCACAGTTGAAGAATTTTAGGTAGAATGTGGTTAGAATTCATGCCCAAAGCTGCATATACAATTAAGAAGCAAACTCAGACAGTCTTGGTCCAGAGTTGATGCTCATAATAAAAATGTCATACTTCCTCTCTGGAATCAAATCCAACTTCACACTTACCAAGAAAACAGATTGTGTGCTGTAACAGTACTGTGTAGATGGAGAGTTTCTTTCAGAGGGATTAGATGGTTCACAATTGTATATGTTAACATATGGTATGGGAGATTTAATGAGATTCAGCCTCTCTATTTTTAAAAAATGGGAAATTTTAATGTTAAGTATATCCATGATCAAAAGAATCATTCCAGAAATGGCAGCAAATAGGCTCAATGAGTTGATTATCATTTTCCCTTTGACCTGAAATGGAGACATAAAGATTTATTAATTGGGCTTGACTTCCACTTGGAGAATATAACCTAGGAAGGAATTCCAGATGCCATTCCCCTGACTCACAAAGGTATTGCCCCTAAATCATATTATACTTCTTATCGTAGTTGTTTTTAGCCTCTTTGCCATATAAAATAAAATCATGACACTATCCTGTTCCTTTCTGTCTTCTCCATCTCATTTTATTCCATCACCTTTCCATTCATTTTATCAAGCCAAATTCTAGAAGTGATCCTTAATTCTTATATCTTTTATCCTTGCCCTTTCTTTATTGCCACTGCCACTATCCTAGTAGGTATTCAATAAACATTTGTTGAATAAGTGAAGTTCAGTCGTATCCAGATTGTTACCTGTCTAGGTAAGTAGATAGAGAGAAGAGACAGAAGACGTTTCCTGCATTATGCGTAAGTGGGATGGTATTGAGTCTAGGTTGAGAAGGTGCAGATGGAACCCTCTAGTCTACACCAACAAATGGAAAGAACAAGCAGCTGTGCAACTATAACATACCACCTACTCCTTATTGACACAGGCCGCACTTAGCCCCAGTCACCCATCTTTCAAAATGCAGTTAGGGCCGATGTCTCTAGGTAGCACAGGTAAGAGAATGGCCAGTGTGAATGTTCTACCTTGCAGGGATGATAAAGCTGGAAACAGGAAAATGTATGTGTCATAACGGTATGGGATTGTTGATGATTATTTTATGCCACACATATTTCATCCCTGGCTATAATGACCAGTCAGTAGGTCTGGCCCTATTTGGAGAATAGAATAATTAGATTTTCATAAGCAACTCCTCTCCTGCCCCAAACTGAGCTTGTCAGATCATTTTTTAGAGAGGAACCATCTCGATTTACCCAGCCCCTCACTGACTTTGAAATACTACAAGAAAGGGATTGGCAGTAGTGGGAAACTGCTGGGCGGGGGTGGGGGATGAGGGGTGGGACTGGCAGCAGCGGGAAACTGCCATGAGGGGGGACACACCTCATCGACAAGGGCACCTGCAGAATGAACATTTGTATACCCAACCCTGAATTGTACCCCACATCTTGAAAATAAAAAGTAAAAAAATACAAAGAAAGTGACTCAACTTCATAAGTAATAAGACAGTGTTGGGAGAGAATCTTCTTGGGAGGAAACTTGCTGATCAGCTCTTTTTTCAGCCACACAGTGTCAGCAGCACTGCAGGGCAGCCTTTTCTGGATGTAAATGAGTCCCTAGGACTTACATGGGCAAGATTGCCCTGTAGCTCCCTGTGCTCTCTGAAACCCTGTCACGCACATTATTGCCTTTTATCCTTATGCTGATTTCACATGATAGCAAGGACCATTACCCTGCTTTATAGGTGAAAACTCAGTCACAGAGAGGCAAGCTGACTTGCTCAACATTACTTAGCTAGAATTTGAATCGAGCACAACACTGAACAGATAGTTTTCCTAAACGGGAGTCTAGGAGAATTGACATGGCTTTCAGAAAGGTCTGTTATTTTCACACGGCATTTAACACTCTCAAGACTGTAAATACAAGTCTTCACAGATCTGCTTTTAGTTCTGAACTTCAGGTAGACTTACTTCCAAGTTTTTCATGGATAAAATCACAACAGTACTGTGGGGGATCTTTTGCTTTTTAGGCTTACGAATCTGTGATCCCAAGGCTTTTTAAGTTTTTAACTTTCCCTGTTTTTAACTGCAAAACAGGTATTTCTTTGATGTGTGGGAAAGAAGGACATACGGTTACTTGCCAAACTCTGCCTGGGGTTTTTCTCTGCTGCTACCAGGAGTGATCCAGAAATAATGTACTGTAAAAAAGAGAGGTGGGGGTAGGTGAGGTAAGAGAAGGAGGAGAGAGGGAGGCCACTTTTTAGCACTGAGAACTGGTCAGAAAGAAGCCATCCACACTTTCAGCCGCTTTCACTAAACTGCTCGCCCATTTTTATCCAGTTCATTCATTTTTCAGCAGTCTTATTTTCCCTTTATTCAGGCTCAACTACATTCAATTCATGCCTTTTATTCAACCATCTGGGAGCTGTGACTAGGAATATAATAAGAACAAAGAGACAGAGCTCACATTTCCTTGTCAATTAGTACACCATGAATTTAAAAGTTTTATTTTTAGTGTTTCTTTCCTTTTGATTTGTGGGAACGCTCTCTGGGATTTAAGGCGACTTAAATGACTCTGAAGTCAAGGAAGAGAGGATGGACATAGAAGAAAATGCTTGACCTGCATGTCAAGTGCACTCCATTGAAATGTTAACTGCTACAAGAAGTGATGCTGATTATCTCTCATCTTCCTTTTCTAATGCTCAAGGCAGAATATGGAGGAAACGCTTGTCCTAATCCATCTCTCCTTGTTCTGAATAAACATCACTGCCACATGCCATACCCAGACAGGGTTACAGATCTGAAAAATGTGTACAAAACAGCCAAAAAAGAGTGCTGCTCGGCTGATGAGCAAAAGGAGATTTTTTTGGGTATGGGATTCATTTCACTAGGTTTCATAGCAACTAAACAGAATTGTAGGGAAGGGCAGTTTTTCTTCTTTGAGACACTTGCCCGTGGCAGGTCTTTCTGCTATGAATATCCCTTTTTCCTTCTCCTCTTTTCCTTGCTAATAAACTTTATTTGGAAACTTAAACAAAAATAATCGCAGGGAAGGAGGAGAGTATGGGAGGAAGTGGATACTCCCGCTCCCTCTTGCTTTCCAACACACCATGCCACACGTTGCAAATGTCTAGTGCCTTCCTCTCATCAGCACTGACTGTGGAGAGGTCCTGCAGTGAGCAACCCCTGTGTAGCTCCATGGAGGGGGTCTTTCTCTGAATTCACATGAAGCCTGACCACGGACTCTCAATCCTGGATTCATGTTCAATTTAGTCAGCCTCTCTTCCTACTTACTATCCCCTCAATACAGAAGCAATCTGGCATATCCCTCTGGAGCTTCTTAACATTTTTGTCTGTACCATTCCCCAAATGGCTGTTGCTATTTTTTTTTTTTTTTACTCACCACAATGCCTCCCCAGAGAGGGTACCACACAGCCATACAGATGGGGGCGTGGACTCCCACGGGGATCATCAGGAGACCCCCCAGGGCAATGTGGAGGAGTCCATTCATGATCTGGACAGCCTGGAAGAGAATCATCATTGTCAGAAGGCAAAGGCAAGGTTGGAAGTCCTGGCTCCTGACTTGGAGCTAAGGAAAATGCCTAAAGGAAGTGGCAGAAGTGCCAAGAATTTTATCTTTTTCTTGTTCAGATCCATTTTCCCCCACCACATGGGGCATTTCCAAGGAGGAGGATGCCTAGGATTCTGTCAGTGGACTGGGATGAGAGACCCCTAGACATACAAGCCCCCAAACCGAAAGGTGACATAAAATCACCCTGAGGTGATCCAGGTGACAACTTCTCTGATATGCCCCTGATTGGGCCCACTGTGTCGGACGCAAAGAATGCTGTGTTGGATCGCATCCCTTCAAGATGTATTGAATTATACACATGGACTATGTCCTCAGCTTCTGTAGGCCAGAGAATCCCAAGCTACGTGAAACAGAGGGCAACCGACTTACCCCCAAAGCCTTAGATTCCCTCATGAAGAAGCTTTGTGTGGGGCCCACCAGTGAAGACATCCTTTTGAGGATTGGTTTCTGACCAGGTTGCATAGCAATCAGGCCTTTCGTAGGCTCTGCTGGGAAAGTTCCATTCACTGAATTTCTAGGTGTCATCATTTCACTCTCAAAAGTTCTAAAAATAAAATAGAGAATAAACCAAAGAGAGCAAAACGCATTTTGGCCATCTTACCTCGTGTCATGCATCTGAATGCTTCTCTCAGCACTCCCTCTGTGGGTGTCACTGAAGGCAGACGTGGCTTCTTCCTAGTGGCTTTTGGTCTGAGGCAAGGCCTGCTGTCCTGGTCTGAGAAAGAATCTGGAGGGGTTGCCTTAGGCAAGATCATGTGGACCCAGTATTCCCTGCCGGTGTTCTCGGCATGCTTTACCTTTGTTGAGAGCACCATGTGTACATCCCTGCATGTTTTTCTTATGTTTGACATTGGAAAATGTATTTTCTATTGACTTGCTCATTGTAATGGGGAAGAGGCATCATTACAGAGTATGGTGAGGACTGTCCTTAGAAGCAGGAGGCTGATTCCAGGCCTCACTCTGCCTCTAAATTTGCCACCTTGAGCAAGTCCTGTCAAGAAGGCCCTCTAATGCAGCATGGAAGATCATGGTCTCCTGAGGCAAGATTGTCTACGTTTAAATAGTGATTTCTCCATTGTCTCTGAGACTTTTAAAAATTATTTTAAAGATGTGGGGTATAATTCACAATGTTAGGTACATAAGTGGTATCTTATAGGCAAGATTTGGGCTTCCCCTTGGTCTCCGCTTTGCCTGGTTTGAGATTGGGCACCTTATTGATGCTGTATGCCCCCCCCCGGCAGTGTTCACTACTGCCAATCCCTTCTTATGGTTTTACGATAAATGTTCAGGGTCTGCTTATGAGTGAGTATATGTAGTACTCAGATCTTTGTTTCTGTGATAGATCACTGAATATTATAGACTTTAAATCCATCCAAGTTGCCGCGAAGTCCATAACTATGCCTGTGTAATATTCCATCTTGTAAATGTACCACATTTTCTTTATCCAGTCACCTTTTGATGGGCATCACAGCTGGTTTTATGTTTTTGCTATTGTGAATAGTGCTGCAAAAAACATGTGTGTGCAGGTATCTTTTTTATAGAGTGATTTGAGTTCCTCTGGGTATATTCTCAGAAGGGGAACTGCTGGGGTGTTTGGGAGGTCAATTTTTAGATCTTTTAGAAATCGCCACACTGTTTTCCAAATGGGTTGTTCTAGTTTACACTCCCACCAACAGTGTAGAAGCATTCCCTTTTCCCACCATCCTCTCCAGCATCTCTTGTGTTTTGATGGCCATCATTAATAATTCTCTGAGGCCTTAAACAAGTCCTTTAAATTCTGCGGGCCTCACGTTCTTCAACTGAGAAACGAGAGTAACTAATTTTTACCTCATAGGCTGCCATAAGACTTAACTGGGCTTGGCCAGGCGCGGTGGCTAATGCCTATAATCCCAGCACTTTGGGAGGCAGAGATGAGAGGATCCCCTGAGCCCAGGGGCTCAAGACCAGCCTGGGCAACTGACAAGACCTCATCTCTACAATAAATCAAAAAATTAGCTGGGCATGGTGATGCACACCTGTAGTTTCAGCTACTTGGAAGGGTGATGTGGAAGGTTCCCTGGAGCCCAGCAGGTTGAGGCTGCTGTGGCTGTGAGCATGCCATTGCACTCCAGCCTGGGCGACAAAGTGAGACTCCAACTCAAAAAAAATAAAAAGGACTTAACTGGATCCATGATCTGTGTATGACCGATATCTTTTATTCCGATGTATCTCAAATGTTAGCTCCTCAGAGCCTTCCCTGAAACCTCAATCTATAACACATGTTCCTATTTGTGTACACACGCTCGCTCTCTCTCTCTCTCAACATCCTATTTTATTTGCTTCATGACATGTATCACTGTGGAAAAACACTTCATTTATTGCCTGTCTCTCCCTACAGAATGTAAGTTTCATCAAAGAAGAAATCTTGATCTCTCTTATTTGGTACCTAAAGTAATAATTGAATTTAGTAGCTTCTTAATAAATATTATTGAAGAAATAAATGTCTGCAAAGCAGTCATGTCTGAATAAATATATTTTTATTGCTGTTCTTGCTCTTCTTACCTTTCTAAGCATTAGTTTTTATTTTATCCATCTCTAAAGTGAGAACAATATCCCTCTCTGAGATTTTGTAAGACATAAATGAGTTAGCATATGAGTCTGTAATTGTGCCTAGTACCTAAGACAAGTTTAGTAGATGCTGTTTGTTAGTGTTCATGATTTATTCATTTCTGAAGAGAGAAGGCAATTAGCCAGGTCCTTTCCAGCTCTGACATTTAAAATTCTGTTTAATCTTCATCTCATGCTTCCTCTTGGTATTCATTTGTTTATGTCAACCACTTACGTGAATTCTCTTGGGTCTTTCCTGTGGCCTGGAAATTTCCCTCTGGGGACACATCTCTGGTCTTGTCTTTATTGATTATAAGTCTTGTAAGGGATTTCGGAAATCAAGACTGTCTATGCAGGTTGCTTATCTCACTAATCCATTAGACCACAGGTTGAAGTATATCTTCCTAAGGCCCGTCAGAGCTGGGTAGCTACAAGTGTGCTGTAAGACAGGCGGCTAGGAGTCACATTTGTACCTACTTTAGAGTTACAAAGAAACTTCACATATGGCATCTCATGTGAGCCTCATAGTATAGGCCAAGAATGAATCGCTGCCTCTATCTTATAAAAGAGGAAACGAGGGCATAGAAAAGTTGGGTTACATGTTCTAAGTTACATAATTAGTAAAGATTTAAAATGAGGTCTCGGACCTATCAAATGAGGGATCCATGGTACCAGGCAGCCTTGTCTCCTGTGGAGAAGAATTCAGCCTTTGCCTTACAACCCCCTCTCTTGTCCTTCAAGTAGATGCACTATCTGGGTGACGGCGAATCCGTTGAAAACAGAGTATCTGTCTGGGGCACAGGCTAGAGGGAAGAGAAGAGTCTTTGGGTCTTTCTCACTTGCTTTTGCCTCTGGCATACACAGCCAGATGTCATGAGATTCTGGGGCTCTGCTTTGTACCACAACAACCCCACAAGATCATCAACAAAAAGGATTATATTAATATAACCCACTAAGGAGTTTACAGTCTGGTTCTAGTCACCAGACAGGATTTCTTTTTTTTTTTTTGCGTCAGAGTCTCATGCTGTTGCTTAGGCTGGAGTGCAGTGGCACTCTCATAGCCACTGCTGCCTCAACCTGCTGGGCTCAGGTGATCCTTCTACCTCAGCCTTCCAAGTAGCTGGAACTACAGGTGCATGCTATCATGCCCGGCTAATTTTTTAAAATTTTTATTGTAGCGATGAGGTCTCGCCAAATTGCCCAGGCTGGTCTCCAACCCCTGAGCTCGGGCAATCCTCTTGTCTCGGCCTCTGAAAGTGTTGAGATGACAGGCTTGAGCCACCGTGCCCAGCTTACCAGACAATTTCTAGAGCTAGTTTAAATCTCAGAAACCATTCTGGCTGGGTGCAGTGGCTCATGCCTGTAATCCCAGAACTTTGGGAGGCAGCGAGATTGCCTGAGCCCAGGGGTCAAGACCAGCCAGGGCAACATGCTGAGACCTTGTCTCTACAATGAATCCAAAAATGAGTTTTGCGTTGTGTTGCACACCTATGATCCCAGCTACTTGGGAGGCTGAGGCGGAAGGATGGCTGAGCCCTGCAGGTTGAGGCTGTGGTAGCCATGATCATGCCACTGTACTCCAGTCTGGGCCAACAGAGTGAGACTCTGACTCAAAGGGGAAAAAAAGAGAAAAAAAAGAAAAGAAAAGAAAGAAAAACCATTCTGTTTATTTTATAAACGAGGAAACTGCAGCCTGGGGATGAGCCATGCTTGGGTCAAGATCTCACACTTAGTAACAGAGCCACAGTGGATGGCAATCACCATGACTCTGACGTTGATGTTCTTTCTGCTGTACCACAGGCTAGTCCAGATAATGATATCGTTTTTCTGAGCACCTACTATGTTCCAGGGATATTGTGTGTGCTATTTCCAACTCACCCAACACCTTCCTTACTAAGTGAGCATTTTTGTCTCCTTTTGGCAGATGTGGAAATGGAGGTTCAGAGAGGTTCAGTCATTTTCCCAAGATCCTACAGCAAGTATCAAATGAAATGGGAGAGGCTACACTCCTCTCCAGGGGGCTGTTTTTAGTAAAGATTGCTTACAGTGCAGAGGTTATCAATTATTTGAACTGAAGGAGATGAATGGCCTGCCTCTGTCTTAATTTCTGTTTATTCGTCAGCTGCTTGAAGGAAGTCTGCGTCTGTATGATTGGTGAGATAAACCATTTATGTAAGCAAATGCTTCTTGGCTGTGTCTGGTAGTGATGAATGG